GTCGGCTATCCGAGCTGGTGCAGCACGATTCCGTGGGGAAGCTTGCAGTACGTGCCCGATTGCCGCGGCTACCGTGGATCGGACGTCGCTGTGTACTATGGGCCGTACTGTGCGAGTTGGTGCCAGTGGGTTCCAAGCCCTTCTTGGCAGTACGTCTCTTCTTGTGGGCGCTGTGGTGGGCAGCCCGTCGGGGTGCCAGTCGGACCGTACGGAGGCGGCTGTGCGAGCTGGTGCCAGTGGGTCCCAACGCTCTCCTGGCAGTACACTTCGGGCTGCTCCGGCTGCTTCTGATTTTGATGGACAGTCTTTGCTGCCAATCGAATGCTCCCGCTGTAGAGTTCTGGGGACTTCGAGACAGACTTTTGTATCAGGCCCGGCTGAGGACACGTTACAGAGTCCCAGCATACGGGACCTAAAGAGGCCACATGTACAGGCGCCACATCCACCGCAAGCGCAGCCTCGTGCCAAATTACGCCTTTCTGGCACATGCATTCAGGGCTTCAGTGGTCTTACAGGGGCAAAGGGGTAACCCCACACCCTAAACCCTGAACCAGCTGTCTTAGTGTTAGCATTTTCCATGACGAGAGCAGAGGCCCATGGTGGGAGTCTGACTCATTGCTGCTGCAGGAAGCGACGTCTTCGTAGGATCTTGTCAGCTCCGCACGTTCACAGAATATAGGGGCCTTGATAAATAGAATAGGGTTTCATAGGCTTCCTTGTAAGGGTTCCTTAAAGGGTTCTATAAGGGCTACTATAAGGGTTTAGGGTTTAGAGTTTACGGGCCTTAATACTTAGAACATGGTCACAGGGCCCATTATACTATAATCATAATGAGGAAGCCCCAAAATAGTATTGGTAAATATATTATTTAGGCCCTTACATTACCTAAGCCGCGCACGCACTCAGTTCCTAAGCTGGCCAAGCTAGAAGACCACTCAACCACTGATGCGATGTGCCTCTACAAGTCTTGAATCCTACTTCCCGCAACTCAGCCCTAAACCCTAAACCCTAAATCCTAAACTCCTCCTTCCCGCAACTCAGAGTCCGAGAAACCCAAAACCCTAAACTCTAACTCTTCCCTGGAGCCCTTTAAACCCTAAACCCTAAACCCTAAAACCCTAAACCCTAAACCCTAAACCCCCAAAACCCCCAAAACCCCTTATCCCTGAAGTTCCGAAGGTCCCGCCCTGTCTTTCAAAGAGCAGGGCGAGCTGCTCTTTAGCCTCGTGAAGCCCGGGGCCCTAGACTCATGGTTTCCTATTCCTCTACTATAGTTAGGGTTTAGGGTGTAGGGTTTAGGATTTAGGGTTTAGGGTTTAGGGTCTACTGCTGCTGTTGCCACTACGGCTGCTACGAATGCTGCTGCTGCTACGACCGCCACAACCCACAGTGGCGATGATGAGGATGCTGAAGATGAAGAGCCCTGTAGAATTTTTTGAAGCAGTAGAGCCAGCAGTCACGGCCATGCTCATGCTGACGGCCATAGTTGCTACTAAACGGGCTTTAAGAATTACCTATACTATTTTGGGGGATCCTTATTATAATTCTAGTATAATATACCACAAAAGCCTATTCTAATTATTAAGGCTGCGGATGTGTAGTGCTTACAGTAGGCCTAAGACATAACTAGATAACTCCTTAAAAGCCCTCACTACGCAACACACGAGCCTGCATCATGAGTAATAGTTTTCCATGGGTGTAGTGTCGGTGTACCCATAGTACATCATAAAAATCCTCGTCGAGCTTCGAAATGGGTCCGCTGAATATCCGACAGGCAGGAGCCGAACTTCATCTGTGTGCCCTATGGGGTCTTTGACTTCGTGCAGGGCGCCGGGGCCTTTGCAGACTTCAAGCTGTTGCGGGCATCCTGATCTCTGAGTTGAAGACTTTCATTTCTCGCCGTGCTGTTTCAGACCTGTCTGTTGTGCTTCGCAACTACTGTTAAAGTATAACTTCTTGGGTGCTGTATCTTTGCCGGAAACCAAAATGCCCAGCAACTGTCTCGCAAGCCAGCTGCGGGGTGACACCCCGGACCACAAAGATTATCTTGACGATGGTAATGCAGAAGGTGATGAACATGGCAATGATGGTACTTGTATTGGCGACCAGGACCATGATGGTGAGCAAGTCAGTTTGCAGAGTTACAGCACCATGTGCCTCAGCAGCTTTGTGGCACTTCTACTCCCTAAAGCTTGAACGCCACACTCCTAAACCCCCCGTAGCACGGTTTTTAGGCCAGGGAGGACGCTGCTTGTGCCCCGAAGCATCACACCCTTCTAGGTTAGTTCGTAGCAGCCTGCACCAGAATCACAGGGGTACCCAAACACAGCATCAGGCGTCGTATATAGTATATAGTATATAGTATATAGTATGTAGTTTGTAGTATGTAGTATATAGTATAAAGTATATAGTATATAGTATATAGTATATAATATATAGTATATAGTATATAGTATATAGTATATAGTATATAGTATATAAAATATAGTATAGTGTTTCACACTACTTATAGGAGACTGTAATCCGGTGCCCGAGATCCACACCCGAAACCCAACAGCAGCTGAGATTCTGGACTTCATTGCCGGACTCTTTCCATCGCAGCCGCGAGCCTAAGCTGTAGGAGGGCTCGTGGGTTAGGCCCGGTTGTGGTCCTAGGGGTTCAGGGCGTTGGGGTTCAAGGTTCAGAGTATCTTTAACTCAAAGGAAGCAGGCTTTGTAGGATTGCGCGTTTTTGGACAACTTTGGAGGTCAGGTGAGGAGTAGCTAAGCCCCTAACCGGCCCTAACCCCTAACCCCTAGACTCTAAACCCGTAAACCCTAAACCCTAGACCCTAAACCCCTAAACCCCTAAACCCTAAACCCCCAGACCCTAAATATAGCGGAGTGAAGCTTGAGAAAGACTTGCTCGGTTTGTGGATGCTTCGATGGGTTGTTGTTATTGTTGTTGTTGTTGTTGTTGTTGTTCTGGCTTTGACAGTCGCTTGCAACTATGGCAGGTGTTCCACTCACATCATTTCGCTATCGTCGTCATTGACATTCCTACTGCCTTCGCACGTAACATTGGGATTTGTGCTGTTGTCGCCATCGTGTGCCAATGTAGTTGTCATTGCCAGCACATCCAGTATCTCAACGATTTTGAGCATGGTTGGCAAGCAAGCGTTGTCGATGCCACTGCTTCGGCAAGTACTAATGTAGGGAAGGTCGGCATTCTTACAACCATGACGAAACTATTACTGCCATTATGTTTGCTCTCTACTCTACTATGAGCTTTTAGCTATTGCTCCTGCAGTTCTAGTTCTTCCGAGTTCATTCCCGAACCATGGAACCCCTAAACCCTAAACCCTAAACCCCTAAACCCCTAAACCCTAAACCCTAAACCCTAAACCCCAAAGCCGTAAAGAGGTCGGACCTTGCAGAATACGGGCGGATCGGCCGTTACTATGCGGAGCAGAGCATGCTGGCTGCTGGGACCGAGCGACTTCAAGGGTTCATGGAGGGGGTTAGGGTTTAGGGTTCAAGGTTTAGGGTTTCGGGTTTAGGGTTTAGTGTTCAGGGTTTAGGGTTCAGGGCTTAGGGTTCAGGGTTTGGGGTTTAGGGTTTAGGGTTGAGAGTTCAGGGTGTCGGGATTGGGGCTTGGGGCGGATCTACATAGGAAGTTGTGTGAAGGGCCTTTGTGTGGATTTTCGGAGATTCTGCAGGATTTCTCCATTCTTTAGATTGCCCAGGTTGCCCTCCTCATGAAGACCTAACCCGGCCCTATAAAAGCCTACATCCTAAACCCCTACCCCGAAGCCCCGAAACCCTAAACCCTAAACCCAAAACCGCTTAGAAAAGAACCCTCATCCCGAAACCCAAAACCCTCAAACCCTGAACCCTTAACTCAACCCTAAACCTTGAGCCCAAGTCTTCCATCGCGAAGGCCCCTAAAGGATTCCCCGAGCAAAGGTCCTCGATCCTGCCACGGGCAAGTACAGCGAGGAGCCCTAATCCCAAAGCCATGAAGTGAAGGCATTGGGCTTTAGGGGTGCTCTTAAAGGGTTTAGGGTTTAGGGTTTAGGGCTTAGGATTTGGAGTTTGAGGTTTAGGGGCATAGGGTTTGGGGTTGAGGGGCTTTGTGTCTAGGGTTTAGCCTGTGGGGTTAGGACTTAGCATGTAGGCATGTAGGGTTTAGGGTTTCGGGGCTCAGGGCTTCGACTGGTGCGGTTTATGTCGGAGTTGGGGCTTTGGGTTTTGCAGCTTCGGGCGTTGATTTTGGCTGGGGTTTCCCAAGGCTTTCCCGAGCGTTTGTGGAGGAATTAACAACAACGGCTTGAAACTGAAGCTTTTTGAAGACAGACGTATACCTGGTATGCGTACACATTTAATGCATACATACATACATACATACATACATACATAGATACATACATACATGCATGCATACATACATACATACATACAAACATACATACATACATACATACATAGATATGTGCATGCATGCATACATACATACATACATACATACATACATACATACATACATACATAGATGCATACACACATACATACCTTTACATATACATACAGATACATAAATATACATACATATACATGCATATACGTACAGATGCATACATATACATACGCATACACATACATATACACATATATGTACATGTGCAGTTTCATATACATACATATGCATATGCATATGCGTATGCATATACACAAAACAGGTACACATACATATACATATACATATACATATACATATACAGATACAGATACAGATACATATACATATACATATACATATACATACACATACATACACATACATACATACATACGTACATACATACATACATTCGCACATACATACATACATACATGCATACATACATACATACATAC